AGATGAAAGCCCGTGCGATGCACAATTTTTCATACATATATCTCAAGAAAAGATATTTCCTACATACTCTAAGTTTTTTTTTTATATAATTATTTGATTTATTTTACAATTTAATAATTTCAGACAAAAAAAAACAAATAATAATTTAATTAAAATGATATTTCCAATTACAAAAGTATAATTTTTTTAATGTAATTTATAATGCGACTTAATTTATTGTTGTTTTGTATTTTATTTATTGTTGTTAGTTATATGACAATAATAGGATATCTTTCAAAAAAAAAATTGTAAATATGATATTTCATTGATTACATATTAGGATAAAATCTTTAACGTGAAAATATAATAAATTTTTATTTTTAAAATAATTTAAATCCTAAATCATTATTCGATGATTTTTACACTTGAAATTAAACTCTCAAATCTATATATCATTTTGTATATTTCTTGTGATCTCTTGATCTCTAACAAAATCTGTCTTTTCAAATTTGTAGACATAAAATGTTTAAAGATGGTAAAGTTTTTTATTGCATTAAAAGTTTTAAATTTTTTTTTATGAAAAACATCTTATTAATCGAGTATTTAGATAAAACCATTAATTTCATAATATAATTTTTTTTAATAATTTAAATCCTAATATCCCACGGTTTTTTATACATAAAATCTCATAAAAATAATTTTTGTAATTAGATCATACTCACAATATTTTTGAACATTAAAATTAATAGTTATTAGATGTAATATTTCGATGTAAAAAATTTTTTATTAAAAAAAAATTCGGTAGGATCACTAACTTAGTTCACACCGATATCTCTTCCATCTAATAAAAGTGGATAAATTAAACATGTTAGCAAAAATAAAATTTATAGTCTTATAAAATAAATTAAAATATTTACCAGAAAGTAAATAATTGTTGTGAAATTAATCTAAAATTGTAATTATACAAAATTAAATCTATGCATTGGAATTTTTTCATTGTCCCCAATCGCTCAAACAATAGTATTTTAGAAAATTGAATCATTATTTTGTTGTCGCTGACAATGCGTACGATATTGCTTCTTATTTGTAACGACTGAAAAGTATCTAATGGAGTAAACTTTCCCTTCAATCAATTTTGAACAAAATTGTAAACAAAGTTGACTTTAATTGAGGCATGAACACAATTACCCTGTAATTAAAAATAAAAAATTAAGTTGATTTTATGACTTAATTAAGCTACCTAAATTAGAAAAAATTTGTTATAATCATAAAATTAATTGATAAAAACTAAAAGGCTTATTAAAAGATTTAATAAATGTAAACGATTTATAAGGATATAATACCTTCTCATCTAATAGGATCATCAGGCGAGAAACTCGTACTTTAATATTCCAAAGATTTTTGCTCGAATATAATTATCTGATTAAATTAGATCTGCATGTAAAAACAAAATTCAGTAAACAAAACATAACATATAATCATTAAGCATCCCAATAAACACAATTTAAGTAATAATAATCACAAATATACATTTAAACATGGGTTTTAAAAATTAGGCTAAGAATTACCTAGCCATTGATGACCTAATAAATCTGACACAAAATTAATGACACAAAATTTGCTTGGTTTAGTTTTGTATTGATACAAAATTTTGTTGGTGTCATAGGATGCGTCAATTTATAATGGTAATGTCACAAATTTTAATTTAATTATAATTAAGGAGTAATTTTTATTTCTTATCATAAACACTATCAAAATTTATCTTATAATAGTAGGTATATAAATCCTATATCTAAAGATGATTATTTTAAAAGATAATTTTTAGTTTTTTAAATAAATTAAATCCTAATATATCAATATTCGTTGTTTTTACTTACGTGGAAAAATTCTTAAATCTCATTCGTCACTTTTGTTTAGGTGGCAAACGAATTTTTTAATTCCAAAATAAAATAGAAATCTAATTTTTAATTGGTAAAAAATATACCTTTGCTTATGTGGTGCGCCAAATTCTCTCCAAAAATGCCTACTTTATTTATATATACTAGATGGAAGCTCGTGCGATGCACGGTTTTTTCATCTATTTTTAATTATTTGATTTATTGTATTTAAAAATTTCAGACAACAAAAGTTTAATTTTTTTTACTGTAATTTATAATGAATTTATTAAATATAAATAAATTGTAAAATGATATTTTTTTCCATTATATAAAATCTTTAATCTGAAATGATAAATTTTTAATAATTTAAATCCTAAATCATTATTCATTGTTTTACCATATCTTTTATTTCGATAGAATCATCAACCTCATCCACAACCAACCTACTACATCAATGGATAAAAATGTTAGCCAAACTGAAATTGATATAAATTAAATCTTTATATTTATATAAAATAAATCAATATATTTACCAATAAATGAAAAATTGTTGCGATATAAAATCAAATCTATGCATTGGAATTTTTTCATCATCTCTAAAAATAACCAAAGCCATCCATATATTAAGTATACAACATCTAATCGTATGTCATTACATAAAAAAAATAATTGTTAAGTATCCTAAATAAATACAATGTAACTAATAATAACAAATATAAATTTAAACATAAGATATTAAAAATTACCCGGACATTGGTGACCTAAAACTAATACAAAATTACTAACACAAAATTTGCTTGATGGGGTATTGTATTGATATGAAAATTTATTTGTGTCGTATGATTTGTTAAATCTGCATGTAAAAAAAATTTAATAAATAAAACATAAACATATAATCGTTGAGTATCCCAAATTAATACAATGTAAGTAATAATTAGAAATACTAAATTAAACATAGGATTTTAAAAATTAAGCTAAAAATTACCCGACCATTAATGACCAAAAATTAACACAAAACAACTAACACAAAATTCGCTTGATGGGGTTTTTTATTGATTCAAAATTTTGTTTGCGTCGTATGATGTGTCAATTTATATTGGTAGGTATCACAAATTTTAATTTAATTATAATTAAAGATCAATTTGTATTTCTTATCATAAATACTATCAAAATTATCTTATATGATAGGTTTCAAACTTTATTATAAGCGTTTATCATTTAAATATTTTTTAGTATATTTTTTTTGGATTTCTTATACTCGTAGTATTTAATTAATAAATTTATATTTTCCTATATTTTTACTTTATTTCTTTTCATTAAAATAATTTAATTCGTGGATTATAATCTACGTGACATTAAAATTTCAGATATATCAAATCTAATTTGTTACTTTTATCTAGGTGGCGATGCACGGTTTTTCCTATAGACTCTAAGTTTATATATATATATATATATATATATATATATATATATATATATATATGATTTATTTTACTATTTAATAATTTTAGACGAAAAACACATAATAATTTAATTAAAGTGTTATTGCCTTTTACAAAAGTATATTTTTTTTAATGTAATTTATTATGCGACTTTATTTATTGTTGTTTTGTATTTTATTCGTTGTTGTTAGTTATATGACAACTGAATTTAATAATATGAATAAATTGTAAATGTGATATCTAAAAAAAAAATTGTAAATATGATATTTTATCGATTACATGTTAGGTTAAAATCTTTAATGTGAAAAGATAATTTTTTTTTTTCATTTTTTGAATAATTTAAATCCTAAATCATTATTAGTTGTTTTTTAAAAAATACAAATAATTAAAAAAATAATAAAAACATGTATACTATTTATCTTCTATTTCAATATAATCACCTACTTCGTTCACACCCATATCTCTTCCATCTAATATAAGTGGATAAATAAAACATGTTAGCAAAAAAAAAATTTATATAAAATTAACCGTTATAGTCTTATAAAATAAATCAATATATTTACTGGGAAGTGAAAAATTGTTGTGAAATTGATCTAAAAATTGTAATTGTACAAAATCAAATCTATGCATTGGAATTTTTTCATCGTCCCTAATTGCCGGAACAATAGTATTTTGGAAAATTGAATCATAAATTTTGTTGTCACTGACAATGCGTGCAATATTGCTTCTTATTTGTAACGAATGAAAAGTATTTAATTGAGTAAACTTTTCTTTCAATTAATTTTGGACGAATTGTACAAAGTTGGCTAATTGAGGTATGAACGTAATCAAAATTAAGTTAATTTGATGACTTGATTAAGCTACCTAAATCACAAAAAAAAAATTTCTAATCATAAAATTAATTGATATAAACTACAAAGGTTTATAAAAAAATTTAATAAATGTAAACAATTTATAAAGATATAATACCTTCTCATCCAATAGGACCATTAGGCGAGAAACTTAAACTATGATTTTCCAATCATTTTTGCTCGAATCTAATTCTCTGATTAAATCAGATCTGCGTGTAAAAACAAAATTTAGTTAACAAAACATAAACATATAATCGTTAAGTATTCCAATTAAACACAATGTAAGCAATAATCACAAATATACATGTAAACATGGATTTTAAAAATTAAGCTAAAAATTACTCAGCCATTGATGACTAATACTGACACAAAATTCGCTTGATTTGGTTTTGTATTGATACGAAATTTTGTTGGTGTTGTAGGATGCGCCAATTTATAATGGTATGCATCACAAATTTTAATTTATTTTTTTATTAAGGAATAATTTTTATTTCTTATCATAAACACTATCAAGATTTATCTTAGATATATAAATCCTATATCTGAAGATGATTTTTTAAAAATAATTTTTAATTTTTTAAATAAATTAAATCTTAATAAATCACTATTCGTTGTTTTAATTACGTGGAAAAATTCTTAAATCTCATTCGTCACTTTTTCTTAGGTGGCGAGTGAATTCATTAATTTTAAAATAAAATACAAATCTAACTTTTGATTGGTCGAAATAATACCTTTGCTTATGTGGCGTGCCGAATGCTTTCGAAAAATGCTTACTATATATATATATATATATATTAGATTAGATTAGATTATTGTTATTAAATTATCATATAAATTTCAGCAGAGTTCTGAGTAGAGCAGGACACGACTAATAACTCAAAAGAAGTAAAGAACAGGGCCTTTACCGCCTTCCTTTTCATACTTGGGAGTTGGCACTTTGGAAGTAGAATTCTAATTTTATCATCACATGAAATCAAAATACTCTATCAAAACAAAACCCTAATTTTTGCAGATCTCCCAATCACCAGCAATGTCGGTCACCGCTGATGTCAGTGACACCATTATCGCCATTAGAGAGAAGCTTCGAGGTAAGATCGGCCAAACCAAAGTCAAGCGATACTGGCCTGGTAAAGCTCCAGAATGGGCCGACGAAGTCGAAGAAGAAGCCGATCTTCGCACTTTATCTCGTCGACAAACCCTAGAACACGCTTTTCCGGTTAACGAGGATACTACTTTTACGCGCGGTGATGATCCCCGTCTTCGGCGGTTGGCGGAGAATCGGGCGGAGAACAAGGAGGAAGTCCGAGCTGATCACCGGAGAATTAGGCAAGCGGAGATTGTGTCGACAGAAGAGGAGGAGAATCGTGCGGAAGAAGCTGCTGCTGAGGAGAAAGATGATGATGATGCGTTGGAGGAGAGGAGGAGGAAGATAAGGGAGAGGTTGTTGCAGAGGAGGCAAGAAGAGGAGAAGCAATCGGCTCCAATTGAGGAGGAGGATGATGAAGCGGAGGAGGAATCGGAGGAGGAAGAATCGGAGTATGAGACGGATTCCGAAGAGGAGGAGATGAATCAGCTGAAGCTAGCGAAGCCGGTTTTCGTGCCGAAGCAAGAGAGGGAGACGATTGCGGAGAGGGAGAGAGTGGAAGCCGAGGAGCAAGCGTTAGAGGAGGCGGTGAAGCGGAGATTGGAGGAGCGAAAGGTGGAGACGAAACAGATTGTTGTGGAGAAGATTAGAGAGTATGAGGTGATTCAGAAGAATTTAGAAGCGGAAGCGGATATTGCTGATATTGATACTGATGACGAGGTGAATGAGGCGGAGGAGTATGAGAGCTGGAAAGCGAGGGAGATAGCCAGGATTAAGCGTGATAGGGAGGATAGAGAGGCCATGGTGAAGGAGAAGGAGGAGATTGAGAGGGTAAGGAATATGACAGAGGAAGAGAGGAGAGAATGGGAGAGGAAGAACCCGAAGAATGCGCCTCAGCCGAAGCAGAAATGGAGGTTTATGCAGAAGTATTATCATAAGGGTGCTTTCTTTCAGGAGGATCCTGATGATAGGGCTGGTACTGCTGGTGGTGATACCATTTTCCGCCGCGATTTCTCAGAACCCACTGGGGATGATAAGCTTGATAAGACTATTTTGCCTAAGGTTATGCAGGTTAAACACTTTGGAAGGAGTGGCAGGACCAAATGGACTCACCTTGTTAACGAGGATACTACTGATTGGAATAATCCGTATGCCCTCTTTTCTCTTACTCCCATCTAATTTGAGATTATCGCTAATTTGTTGAATTGATTGGTATTGCATAATTCTTATTAATTTTAATTGTCTCGGTGATGTAGATTTTGAACTTGTGATTTGTCTATGGCAGATAATCTTTTAATTTTTTTGCCAGTTTTCTTGATTTCTGTATAAGACCTCATTGTTTGAATGCTAGAGATGCTTGTTCTTGGCAAAAGTTTGTTCTTTGGAATTTGAATAATTCATAAGTGGTCAGAGGCTTTGTTTTTAGAGATAATATGGGAGTGGAGTGAAGGTTTAGCGTAAAGGTCCTTGTTTGAAGCTTTTAATTTCAGTATAGAGTGGTTGCACAGCTTTAATTTGTTGTTGTTGTTGTTGTTTTTTTTTTTTTTTTTTTTTTTTTTTTTTTTTTTTTTTATAAATGTGAAGTAGCTTATGCAAAGACCATGGCGTGTGAAGGCGAGAAAAAAAAAATCTCGAGTGATAATCTTGCTCTGCTGTTGCAAGGGTTGTGTTTGATAGTTATTTGAGCTCACTAGATTAAGCGCTTGTATTGTTGACACCCAGACTGATATAGTCGTTCTTTTCCAAACCTTTTTTCAGCTTTTCAGTTACTACTTGGATTGTAATACAAAAGCTCTGGGGTCTTTGGAGTAGGTTTCTAGGGTAATAAGCTGATGAAGTACAGGGTTGCATTGTGTTCTATACAAGGAAAATCTAGTCTAGGATTATAGCAAACCAGATTGTGAGAACTTAGAAAATCTAAATCAGGGTTCATATTGTAATGTTAAGTATTTTAAGTACCATGATGTGATTTGTGGATGATAAAATAGGAATCTGATTGTGGTATCACTAGGCCTAGTCTTTGAGATTGTTCCCAAAGTATTTCTGGAGAGTTAAGGCAGTAATTAAGGATGTTTCCACCCAGAGCAGTCCCAGTATTTTAGTTCTAATTCCTGCACGATCCATATTTGTTATGACTAAGTGACCAGTACTGATCCCATTTGGATCTCAATAAACTTATTTCTATACAGCTTGATGCGCAGATGTCCATGAGCCTTTTGCTAAATGTTGTCAGCTGGCTTAATAAAACCTTAATAGTACAAGCTGATAGATGTAAGAAGATGTAATTTTGGAGTTTGTATAGTGCGTGTTTAGGCGGTAACACTCAGGGCCTTAGGGGACTATGGATCTTTAATAAGGTTTTAGAGAAACCTTACTTTTGAATGATTCTTCTTTCATCAGTTTTTTGGCGGTGGTAACTATGAGAATTAAGCTAAAATTGAGGAATTTTATAGCCTTTTTAAGTACCTAGATCAGATTTCCCGAGATCCATTAACTATTTCAAGCCCAAATTCAAAGCTTCTTGCAAATTCTTTTGAACCAAGCCTTTATTGAAACTTATATGAAATCATTAGGCTGTATTTTAATTTATTGTGATTTTAAGTTGAACTTGGATAGCCCTTGTTGAACCTCATTTGAATTGTTTGTCCTGAAACTCATATATTTTAGGTGAAAAGAACATAACCGTAGAGGGTGAGCGTTAATTCTTTGAATTAAGTCTTTATTGATAAACTTTTTGGTAGGAATTACCCAATACCTCGTAAGGTTTGCCAATTACCCTTGGTACTTCAGAATAATTGCTGTAACATGGTATCCTTAAGGCCCTAGGGTGATTATTGCAGTATTCACACGTCAAACCACCATTGTTTTTTTTTTTTGAAGGACATAACCACCATTGTTTTTTGTCAACCAAACTAATTTTTTTTGGCATGGTTTTACTTGGGCTATTTGAGTTTGAGTTTTGAAATTAGATCAATGTTTGAATCTTTGCTTTTATCTTGGGTACATCAATTGGTATTTTAACCAATTGAAATTTGAGAAAAAGAAAAATAAAAGGGAACCCTTTTCTCTCACATTCCACCAAACTCTGTTATGGCAGTCTTAATCTTGAGTCCTTGACTCTTTCTGTGGTGCTCCCAACAGAAGTTTGGGAGCAATTTGGCATACAGCCTATGCTGAGTGTTCATGGGACTATTAATCTCCATCACCGTCTTGGTGTTAGCATGTATCTTGCTAATCTTGGCAGAGCTCAATATCTTCTCCATCCTCGTAGGAGAGCTGGTTACGACAACAATGGCATTCAACAACGAGTTGATGATCTTTGACCTCAAAACATTAGGTGTGAAGTTATTTTTGGGATGGAAGGGGTAGTGTAATTAAGAAGTTCCCCCTTTACCATTCAATCCCTCTCAAATCAAAATTCCTAGTGCTGTATCGCATGCTTCATTTTATAACGCAGTAAATAGCAGCCAATCATATTTTGTTAAAATATCTCTACACAATTAACAACCAACTATTGATTGATAACAAGGGAGAGATGGTCCCTTCCCTTCAGTTACTAAATGTTTGGACTTGATTCCATCTCATGTGAATCAATGCCTCAATTTCTAAATTTTAGGTTCTTGAAAGGGAAACAAAATGAAATATTTCACATCATATTAAAAAGGAAGAATTTGCCTCAACACCCTAACTATAGTTTGTGTGTACCTGGCACACCAACTATTGATTGAGGTGCAACGCGTGCCACTAATGGTCTTTTTTGGCACTCAAATTGATACATTTCTAATAATTAAAGGGTAATTAATGGTACGTGTAACACCCCAATCAATGGTTAGTGGTGTACTAGCAACTAGTGCTGATTGCACTCAAGCTACAGTTGAGAGTGTTAGGCCAATTTTGCCTATTAAAAATTGACTTACGGTTCTTGGATTCTTGGAAGAGAGATTAAAGGAGTAGATGTATCTGTTTTATCCTTCATGTGTATGATTCATACCCAGGTCAACTTGTGCAATGTCTGGTAGAGGTTGGTGGGTCCATTTATCACAAATTAAGGGTGGCATACTGAAATGTTAGGCTTCTTATTTATTATAGTATCTTGTGTGAATGCCTTAGCCTTTTGTTGATATATTTTTTTGGTGGTATTGCTTCCATGGATGATAAGTGGTAATTTCTGAGCCCAGTCTTTCAGTTCTAACTTCTTGGTACATATTTAAGTAATAACGATAGGGCAACGATAATACTATTCTTAGCACATTTGATAGCTAGAGTTGCGCTTGCCTTTTTACAGAGTTCAGCTAAGATGAACCCATTATCTATGCTTCTTTAGTTATCCTCTTTAATTTGCTTATTTATTGTTGATTATGACTAGAATGTTTGTATGTGAAATTCCAAGCTCTATACTACATGGCACTATGGCAGTATGGCACCATGTCAATTTTATTGACGAAAGATCTTTTTGTTGATTATGAGGCACTCTTCCCTCCTACCTTTCTCTTAGAGCTTAATTCATTTTTCCTGGCTGATCTGCTGGTGAGGGTTGTAAAATAATAGAGAACTGTATTATTCCTCCCTAGGGCCTAACATTATTATCACTTGACTATTGCACTGTTTTTCTTTTATACTTTTATCGTTAGGGAGTTTGGGGCCTCGTTTGAGTTTTACACGAAATAGTTTTTCCCTTTTATTTCAGCCCCTTTAAATGCATATGCAGTTTTGTTTACAAATATGACTCTACTCCGTAATACCATACATGTTGGCACTATATGCTGATAATTTTCATACTATTCAGGTGGACGTACAATGATCCCCTACGAGCAAAATACAATGCAAAAATGGCTGGCATGAACAAACCAATTGCGAAACCCAAAGGAAGCAAAAAACTAAAGGACTGGGAGCAGAAGTAAATACAATTTGACATAGTTTCCTGTAGAAGGGGTCTCGTGTAGCTTTTGTCTTTTTTAGTAGGTACTATGAATGGAATATAATGTAAATCTTCGTTTCAGTTGTGGGAGCTTGAATGACAAATCTTTTTGATTGTACAATCACGAGTATAAATATAGAGCAATTCAGTTGCTGTTTTCTGTACTGGTTTGTGGTTTCTTTGGCTTCCTAGCACAAATATAATCTTTCTGTTATCTTGGACGTCTTGTAGCATGCAGTTTCACTTCTAGTCAGCTAAAACCATCAAGCTTGGATGGTTCTCTGTCTAACAAGTCACAAACTCATAATATGTAGATGTTTCATGAAGGGGTAGGCGTTGTTTTCTCAGCTAAGAAGTCGCAAACTAGACCCCTAACCAGTATTCACTAGGCCATCTCCCCTTCACCAACTCATTGTTGGCTTACTTGTTAAGTTTCATACCCCATAGAGGTTTGGAGTTCAAATCATGCCAAGTGAGGATACTTAGGGGGAGGGTTCCCTTGTCCTCCTCTCAAGAGCCTAGGCCGCAAAAAAATGGAAAATAAAAAGGCGATCTCCCTTTTCATTCATTATTGTTCCTGCTCCATATTTAAGATTGATGTTCTTGTAATGGCTAAGCATCAGATTAGGCTTTAAGTCTTGTGTATGCATAGATGATGAAGACTCTTTCGATGAATGAAAAATTTGATGCGTACAACTTTATTAGGCTTTTTTATTGGAAATGCAGTTATATGCCATGCATTTAGTATTATTGTCACTAGTGTTTTTATCTTCTAATGTCTTTGAAAATAAAAATATACGTAGTATATCTTTGATGATACTGTATACTAGTATTGGACATGAATATATGATAGTCGAATTGAAGGGCAGAAAATATAACTCTTGCTTTTGGAAGCCTTAGGTCTGGAGTACATCATAATTCTGCTTACTTAAAATTATGAAATACATTATGTGTGTACTGAAATACTACTTTTCATCATTTTTAACATAGGCTTGAAATATCTGTCATTTCTAGTAACTCATAGAACAACTATGAATATGAGTCTTGCTAGGAGCTATTGCTTGTTGCACTATGGTTTATAAGTTGATTTCTAAAGTTATCACTAGTAGGCTTGCTCATATTGTGGGCCTGTCATTAATGATGCCCAAGCTAGTTTTAGTCCAGGTAAACACATTGGTGATTACATCCTTCTTGCTACAGAGCTCATAAAAGGATATTCTTAAGGAAGACTTATGACTCTGTTGAATGGAGTTTCTCGCAGATTGTTCTTGAAGAGCTTGGTTTTCCTCACAAGATGATTGGGTGGATTATGAGATGTGTAACTTCTATCTCCTATTCTATGATGGTGAATGGCTTGCCTTCCAAGCTTTATCCTATTCAGAATGGTTTGAGACTAGGTGATTTTATGTCCCCTTTTCTCTTTGCTATATGTATGGAGTACCTATTTATATGTTTGCAAGAGATGACAAATAATCCTGATTTCAACTTTCATCCTAGATGTGAGAATTGAAGCAGGGATTATTCACATGATATTTGCAAATAATTTGTTGCTTTTTGCTAGAGCTGACCTTGTTTTTGTCCAACTCTTTTTTAAAGCTTTTGAGAAATTCTCTGGTGGTGCTTCTGGTCTTGCTGCTAATCTTAATAAGAGTGAGGTGTATTTGGTGGTATTTCTTAGGCTCAGGAAGACAATTTGCAGAGTGTTCTTGGTGTAAATAGAGGCAGTCTTCCTTTTAAATACCTTGGTATTCCCTCAACCTCTCTAAGAAAATAACAGTGCTCAATGCAGGCTGCTTGTTGAAAGTGTTATTGCCAGAAGCTTCTCCTAAATTAGAGTGGAAAAGGATTATTTGTAATATTCAAGGTTCTTCTAAGAGTATTTTTATAGCTTGGTTAGCTTTGCTGAATAGATTAGTCACCAAAGATAGACTAATCCACTAGCATATGAATTGTGATCCAATTTGCTTCTTCTGTAAGGCTCAAAATGAGAATGTTTCTCATTTATTAGTATTTGGCAGCATTTTTGCAAATGCAGGAAACCAGTGCAAAACTTCCAGCTTAAGCAACAATAAGTTATCTAAAACTGCAGGAAGGCTGGTAGCAGGAGTAGAGTTTACTCCATGTGTTTTGTTGAAGCAATTCACACTATCTAGATTCAAAGGAATATCTTGATGTTTACATGAAAATGTAAATCTGTAAATGTTGTTTTTAGAGAAGTTGTCTTTAATGTAGCTTGTAGAAGTAATGGTGATGATATGAAGTTACTATTTCTTCATTGACTCTTTGTTCTTGTCCTTGGTTGTGGAGAACCCTTCCTGGAAGGTGGCTTCTCTTCCTTGATTCCAGGTTGTTGGTGTCTTTACTTTGTTTATGATTCATAAGTGAACCCTTCGTATAAGGTGACACTTGTGACCCAGAACTGTTTTGGTGGGTGTTCGGCCTATAAGGCTTCTGTAGCTTGGGGGTTACAACTTAACTTTTCTTTAAGTTGTAATTTTTTCTTATTTGGAAGTAATATTTTCTATTTACCACAAAAAAAAAAAAAAAAAAAAAAACATTGCTAGGAACTATTCCTTTTGTGTTAGAAACACTAGGTTAATGTTGCTAGGAATTATTCCTTTGTCCAAAATTAGCAGTCGCAAACTCTATTTTAGAACGATTAGAAAAACTTATTACCTTTTCTAATGTAATTTGCTACTTATTTACTCAAATGATAGACAGACTTTAGAAATGACTTAATTATTATAAATGGATCTCTTTTGTTAAATCATGGTACATGTTTTACTCTTTTAGCATGGAGGATGGGGCAATCTGACGACTAATGGAGGGTAGATAAAGGGTTGGCTTATACCCCGATTGAAGTGGCCAAGACTAGGTAATCTCCATGTTTAAATCAAATTCGTTTTGCAATAATGGTCAATTAGAATTTATTCATCTTAAATCGTATATAGCATGTCAATTAGCTGAACAACTAAAGAGGATTCGTGCTCGGTTTGTTATTTGCAGCTTGTTGTATAATTTTTCATTCATGGTGTTACCTTTTTATTATATTGCAAATTGCCGTACAACCATCCTTTCTCCATGAGTGTAACACCCTAGAAATTCCTTTCCCTTAAAATACCTGTTTTATACGAAATAGGAAAATATAAGACATTACCGCCACCGTGATAACGGCTAAGGCAATTATTAAAGATACATTGCGAAAGACTCACTTTAAAAACCATTCAAAACTAGTCAACTCAATAGTCTAACCAAACGAAAGTAAAGTCAAGCCAAAGTCAAATAAAGTCAACCTACAACTTGGAACCATTGCAGACCCTTTTCAAAACCCAAACGAATAATAAAACCTTTGCGTTAATCTCACAAGCAAATATATAATAATAAAAGCAAATAAAACACATCATATTCTTATGGAAACTAAACAAGATTCGCTCTTCACTCATGCCCATCATGAATATGCTTCATCTCCTGAAAAGCTTCTCTTTACTTTGTCCCCACTACTTGCCATTAGAAATGAGTCGTCGTAGGGCCAAGATAAAGATAAGGCCAAACAAACATACAAATGCACAATCAGCAAAGCTGAGTACATACATAAGCGTAAACAGTACACACTAACATGCTTTCATCCTATCAACATACAACTTACCTTGTTGCACTTGTTTACAAGCATACAACATACAACACACTAACCAATAAATAAATTGCTTATTTAATTTGAATACGCATTGAACGGGTTTCCCCCTAATCCGCCCCAACAAAGGGGTACTGACACGGGAGCTAATTGTGTCAGTATAAAAGAACCACTCGTAAGTGGCGGAATTCCTGCGCATAATAATAAAAAGGAAAATACAGCGTCCTGTACTCCCAGTAGAAGTTACGGTCAAATATAAAGTCACATAACGCTCCCATTTGTTCATACTTAAGGTATATATGTTCCAAGAGTTTTGATGCGTAATCTCTTTCACTTTACATTATTTACATATTTTAGACTTGGTGATGACTCCCAATCCATAACAATCAATCATCATAAATCATCCAAGCAATCAAACATACCAATTTAATTCTTGAATAATTAGTGACCAACATTTAATTTAATGTTGAACCCTTTTTAAACTACCTCCCTCGGTGTTAAATAACACCAATAACACCTTAAGCGAATAATGCACCTCAATTCCTATCCCTCGGTATTTGGAACACCTTAAGTGCACTTAGGCACCAAAATATAATTTAAATCCTCGTGTACATAGACATTTAAATAACTCCTTTTCCATGCTTATAGCATCAATAAAAATTATTGGTGAATCACATTTATATAAGATTTATAGGCACGTTTATGCTAGTTTTATAGTTGCTTTTTGGGTCTTTTGTCGCTTTTTAGGTCACAAATGCATAAGTTGTTTGTTTTTTACTCTATTATGTTCCGTTTGTATTTTTCTTAATGTTTCAGATGATTTCATAGTCATTTGGACGCTTTCGAAGTGTTTGGAGTTGATTCGGATGATATTTAGATGGAAGTCGATTGATTGTGTTTATTAATCGAAGATCCCATGTTCGTGGATGTTGATTTTGATTATTATGTGCATGATAAATGTAAATAGCATCCACAAGAGCCGCTACACACCTTTCGAAGATGAATTTGAGTTAGAAATGGAGAAAAACGAGGGTTTGCAAAGTGTCAAAACAGACCTTTGCTCACTCTTTTAATCATAACTTGAGTTATACATATTGGATTGCAATGATTCAAAATGGGTTGAACACTAGACTTGAAGAGCTTTCCAAAGATAGGTCACATGACCCTATACAATATATGGAACAAAAATTACAAGCTCTGCAAATCTGCCCTGCGAACCAGCGAGCCACCAGCGCTCAAAGCTCGGCACTCCCAGCCACTAGCGAGCTCCTGCTTGGCCTGCTGGATATCCAGAGACCGCTGGTTTCGGTGCCTAGTAGCAGCAGGCCACGTCTTTGGGCCTCGTCTTCCCATCTTTACAAGCTTCGCTGACTACAATTCAACATGTTCCTTAGTCGACCAATCATAATATGTCTTATGTAATTGCTATTTTTGTGATTTTATTTTATTTATTTATCTTTAGATTAGTTTTAGGATTATATAAATACTCAAGGGATTTTATTTTTCCCTTATGCTTTTTATGCTTTTTTTTTT